TTGGTTCCCCATTTAAGCCAAGTTATAGGCTGGGGCGATGGCTCAGTGGATAAGGTATACATTCTTTCTGTGCAAGCATGAGAACCAGAGTTTAAACCTCCAGAACCAACATCAAAAGCCCAGTGTGGTTACACATGTTTATAACACATCACTATGGGAAGAAGAGGCAGGAGGATGGCTAAAGCTTACCGTTCACTAGCACACCTCTAGCATACCTCCAGGTTCAGTTAAAATCACTGCTCAAGGGAATAGTCCAGAGGATGATAGTACTTGATGTCCACCCCATGAGTGTGCATAGGATTGTAATCACCTCCATTAAGAGGCATATAGCATATCCATGCATGCCAGCTCTCTCTCTCTCTCTCTCTCTCCCTCACACACACACACACACACACACATAAACACACACACACACACACACACACAGAGAGAGAGAGAGAGAGAGAGAGAGAGAGAGAGAGAGAGAGAGAGAGAGAGAGAGGGGAGAACAGGGCATGATGGTGCATTGCTTATTTGTAACCCCAGCACAGGGAAGTCTGAATAGAATTACATGGATCCCTGAAACTCATTGACCAGCAAACCTAGCAGAATCAATGAACTGTATGCTTAGTGAGACTTTGTCTCGAATATGTATGTATGTATGTATGTATGTATTATGTATATGGAAGAGAGATTAATAGACTAGAAATAGTCATTTGACCTTCGTGTGCATGAATACACATGTGCACAAACACATATGCCTTCATACTTGCACACACTCACATGCACATACATATAGCATGTACATATACATACATAGTAACACATAAAAACATTAGAACACAGTGTAAGTCTACATTTTGATCTTAACATTTATATTTTGAAAAAGTGCCATTAAGTACATTGTCATAATAACCATGTTGCCCTGAGGAGTCTGTACTAGAAGAATCCATTCTCCACCAGTCCTGACCTCTCAATCTCCTCCCCCAGAAGACAGATCAAATGTCTGAAGCATTTTTCAGAGATCTATGTGTTTGCTTAGATTCAGTCAAACAAAATAGAGTGTTATGTATATTTAAGACACCTACTAGTGTAATACTCATCCTGCATATGTTTGTGTGATCAGAGATATATCAATTATCCACTTTGTACAAATGTCAAATTTCCAAAGGTAAAATATCAGTACTTACCTAAGATCAAGACCCAAGACAAAGACCTCTACTACTGGAAACAAACAGGCTCTCTCTCTCTCTCTCTCTCTCTCTCTCTCTCTCTCTCTCTCTCTCTCTCTCTCTCTCTATCTTTCTCTCTCTGTGTATGTATGTTTACAGAGCAAGAAAGAGAGTAATAATCTATAATTTTGCCACTCATGTTTATAGGCCATATATTTTTGAAGTCTGAAATTGTTTTTGAGTTTTGCAGTAAAGATTCAAACCTTGCCAAGTAAAATATTTATAAAACTTATGAATTAAATGGAATTAAATCCACTTTAGGCTGGGTTCTCACTTGATCTTGTTTATCATCATAGTCTACTAACCAACCAGATAAATCTATCTTAATGTAACACATGCTAGTTCTTTAACCAATTCTGTAACAATTCAAATACTATATAACTGAATATCAATGTTTTACTTATGCTTTCTAAATTAAATATAACCAGTAATATTCTATGCATTTAATTATTTAAAAGATATTTTCTATGAATTAATAAATAATTGCAAGCAATTTTCAATGTTTCTTTCTCTCTTTCTCTCTCTCTCTCTTTTTTTTTTTTTTTTTTTTTTTTTTTTTTTTTTTTGGTTTTACCAGACAGGGTTTCTCTGTGACTTTGAAGGCTCTCTTGGAACTAGCTCTTAGATACCAGAACCAGGCTGATCTGGAACTCAGAGAGATCTACCTGCCTCAGCATCCTGAGTGCTGGGATTAAAGGCATGCACCAGGCTGTTTTTCTCTTCTTTTCTTCTTATTTCTGGAAATAGACTCAATGTTGTGCTGGTCTAGAATTCACTGTTCTAGACTGACTTCGAACTCGCAGAGATCAACTTGTGTCTGCTTCATGTGTGTTTGAATTAAAGGTTTGGGCTATTAAGACAAAGTTTTCTCTGGAACAAGTACAAGGACATTTAAACTTTAAGTAATTGAAATAATTTTGGCATATTAATCTCCAAATAAAAATCCTTTTTGTATTTGAATAATAATTCTGCATGGTGTATATTGTTTATACCTTTTCTATTGCTGGTATATTTAAACTTTGGTTACATTTGATCATGAAAATCACATAGATGTGTATTAAGCAAAAGATGTAGAATACTAGGAGTTGTGAAGTATACAGGACAAATATCTGATTTTAGTTGAATATTGAGTTAATTACTATCTTGTCTTGAGCACCTTGCTATCTCAGCATAATGCCATTATTACTTTTTTTTTTTCTTCAGGATGGTTTTGAGACAGGGTTTCTTTGCATTGTTTTGGAGCTTGTCCTGGAACTTGCTCTATAGACCAGGCTGGCCTGGAACTCACAGAGATTTTCAAGTGAAATGAAATAAAACTTTCACCATACCTTTCTGTCTATATGCAGTATTAATACATTTCAAGACTCCCAGTGCATGTTTGAAACTGTGGCTAGCACTGAAACCTGAAACATGATGTGATGCATTTCTCACCTTAACTAAACACTTAGCATGCATTATTGTGGCAAGTTTTGTAATAGGAAAGTTACCTATCAGAGTTTCATAGACAGAATATTTGTTTTCATAGTAATTCTGGCAACTTTACAATATGATTTTTACAACTTATCAGGACAAGTTTCAGCTTTCTTACTGATCAGAGACAACTCACAGCTTCCCCCTTGACATATCTGAATCATCAGCATCACTTCTCTTATGTGTTAGGGTCATTAATGATTAAAATAAGAGTGTAAAAGTGCAAGTGCTAAGATCTCACAGCAACACATCTGATACTCAGGAGGGGTAAGTGAATGAAGGATGAATAGCATAGATGTGGACACTCTCTAGATATGCTTGACAAAGGTGAGGTTGACAGCCCAGTAGGGTAAAAGAATTTGGTGTGAAATTTCATCATACCACTCCCGATGGTGAACAATTTAAAATTTATTATTTCTTTCTCTATTTAATGTTTTTTAAAATACAGTTAACTTAAAGATACTAGAAGTAAGAAAAATGAATTTTTGAATAAAGTTAAAGTCACCCTATGAATATATTGTGTTCTGAAAGCAAATTTTATCTGATGTTAAAATCCTGTCAAAATGGGAGTACCTCAACAATTTCTTCTTGCTAATAAGTGGCCATGACATCAGTTCGTTATACAACACTGCTAAATGAAATTATTCAGTTAGATACATATTGCTCATATGTTAAATAACTTTATAATTAGTATACTTGAGATCGATTCATAAGTTCATTATTTTTATTTGATCTCAGTTACCTGCTGTCACTCCCTCTGCATACAAACTATGTACATATTTAGAGATGTTAATTTAGTACCTATTATATATTAATAGCCAGTATTATAATACTCTTTATGATTTAAATGCTTAAAATTTAGGAGTTCATGTTAAAATGATTAAATATATAACTTTAGAGTAAAAGTTGTACAAATCTATTCTGTCAAAATTATAAAGTTATTTCTGATATTTATACACATTTTATTACACTTTCAGAAGTTATAATTTAATGTAGCCAGAGGAAGTTGCATTAAATCAAGGAGATAAATAAATTATGCCATATTTTTGAAGACATAATGAGAACATCATCCATCATTGTACAGAAATCCCATTTGGTTTTCATGTGATTATTATGCATGGCCGATCAATCAACAAACCAAAAGCTCAGTACAAGGTGAGCTGAAAAACTGATAATGAAAGTATTAAAATTATTTTACCTGTTGTTGTAAAGAGCAGCTAAGAGAGATGACTTGGGGACTTGGGGCTTATACTATACAACAACTGCTTCTTTACTTTTTTTACTCTGATTTTAGGTTTCCAGCATTGTAGTACTATATCATAGTTGTCCCTCACAATATAGGCCCTGTAGACACCGTCATGTTAGATTTATAAATATCTGTCTATCTATATACCTGTCAATCAATCAACCTATCACCTACAACAAAGGAATAGTAATTTGATGAATAAAAGAAAATGTGCATTATAATATTTTTAGTTTTATTGGCCATCAAATAGTGGTCATATGTAATGTAACTACTGGATTTCACTTTTCTATCTTCATATTAAATTGTTCTTGCTTTTCTTGGGTGTATTTTCCAGAGACAGTAAAATGTGTGGCAAACACTAGTAGAAGATAAACTCCTCTCTGACAGATACAGCGAACTTGAATTACAGTTCACTTGCATAAATGAACTTTGCCACAACAAAATCCAAATGCAGATTAGAACAAGATAAAGACACTTGACTTTTATCTTAATTGGGAGTTTTAGCCATCTTTCTTCCTTAAACTTCTTTCCCCAAGGTTGAGAATAATATACATATATAACTACATTAGAGTACACTCAGTTGTTGCTTATAAAGAAAACAAGATTAGAATGTGGTCAACAGCATGTAAAACTCTAGATTACATTTTCTGTACAGGGAATTTGGGGGAAGGCTATTACTGCAATCCCATGACATAAACTGTCCTTCCCACACCACAGAGCTTGCAATTGCTCTATAGACACATAGGCTTGTCTATTTGTGATTTCAGTACCAAGGTTAGGAACCTGTGTTTTCATCAGCTGTCTACCAAAACTCATTATTAGCTCATGGTAAATGGAGTAATGCCACCCTTTCAAAACCATCCATTTCCATGCAGGTCTTCCTGTGTATTCAACATTGCTTGAATTGTATTTCCTTATGCATTATTCTTGACCATCCTAGCAGTCATGCTTCACTTATCAACTTGAAGGACATAAACCAAAATACCTCAGGGTATAAGGCATATCTACAAGACCCTGAACTGGTAGAAAGCACAAGATCAGAAAGGCAGCTATTGGCAGCATGTCCTCAATACCTTGAGGCAGCGACTGGACAGGAAGGGCTGCTTGGCCTGGTGGGATGGAGATGAGGCCCTGGCGCTGAAGGCTGAGCAGATGTTGCTGCTGCTGCAGTTGCTGCATTTGGAGAAGCTGCTGCTGGAAGACAAGCTGCTGGGCGGCCAACTGCTGCTGCTGTTGCTGCTGCTGCTGCTGCTGTTGCTGCTGTTGCTGCTGCTGTGGGTATGAGAAAACCGGATCCTGTCAACAGCAGAGAACAAGGCACACACAAACTGCTCTCATTCACAGAAAGGCTTGCTCCTTTCCTTGCTCAGTTGTGATCTTGATCATCCCAGGGTCAAAGTCCAGAAGCCGAATGTAAAGAGCTTCTAGGTATTCAGCTATGTGCTTCTTGGAAGGTAAAGAGCATCAAGGAAACCAAGGAGCTTGCACTAATGGACCTGAGCAAGTTTAGAGGCAGAATGTAAAAAGGTTCAGATATTTAGAAACCAGTTCATCACAGATGATTAGAAGTTTACTTAGACAAAAGAAATGACTTTAGGGAAATGATCAACTCTCACAACACTCACAATTTTCCCTGACTACGTTTGTATGTGGAGGTCCACAGATGGGGTCTCTAGTGATCTATTAGTAAATTTGGATGGAGCTACAGGACAAACATGTCAGCTCTCTCCATTTCCCTTTTTTAAATATATAAAGGAGGAATTATGTGCAAGGCAAATAAATAAATAAATACATAGATACATAGATAAATAAATAAATAAAAAAGAGGAGCCCTTATTATAAAGAAAAGTCTAACTTCCAGTTTTGTGAGCCATTACAAGACAAACCAGAGAGTTCTTTGGACTCGGGAGGGTAGGAGATGGCAGTCACACTTCAGAGGAAGACAAGCTGTGTGCAAGACCTTTCCTTTTTAGTTTGGGGAAAAGAGAAACTTCTGATGCGCTCACTGGAAAACAGACTGCATAATGGAGCAAGTCGTGTGGATTGCCCAAAGCCTCTGAGAAATAAGGGAGCAATTTCTATTCTGTAGTTGATGGCTGTCTGAAATCCTATTCACAAATCCAAACAGAAACAAAACCTCAGGAGGTCAAAACTGTTTCCTGTACGTTTGCATAATGGGCAGCTTGAAGACAACAGCCCTGATACCTGCTGATCAATTTAACTACTTCAACATGTTTTGTTTGTATTATGTTTATATTTGATGCAGTTTGCTGACAAGTGCAAGCTAGGCCTGAGAAGCCAGCTTGTCAGTTTGATTTATGAGCATATCAAACGGTAACTTTCTACTCGCCACTCCAAACCTACCCTAGCAGTTCATTAATCAGGGGCCTGTGACTTTGAAATCTGTGCTCAACCAGTTTTTCTCTTGGTCTCCCTGCCCCCAACAATGGGCTAAATTTGCATGCATGTTTTCTGAGCTGTACTACTGAGAAAAATAAGGTTCCCTGACCAACTTGGATGCTCAGTGAATACAAGATAATCAGTACTTTGTCTACCACACAGCTTGCTCTTTGTACACTGTGATTCATTAGTGAACATTAGAAGACAGCCAGCAATGGATTGTGACTCTCAAGTCCCATGCTACAAAAAAGGAGAGCGCGAGAGTCTCATGTCACTGTTATTAAGCTCAGTAAAAATAGACTGCATCTTTGACAGCAAGAGCCTTGTTATAGGAAGATCTGAGACGGTCCTCGCCTCTCGAAGCACCTCCTCAACCCTGTGCTCTTAGATATCAATGAGATGACTAGATCCTACCTCTTTCGCTTGCTTTCCAGGATGCTGCTGCTGCTGTTGCTGCTGCTGCTGCTGTTGCTGCTGCTGTTGCTGCTGTTGTTGCTGTTGCTGCTGCTGCTGCTGCTGTTGCTGCTGCTGCTGCTGCTGCAAAAGCTGAAGATGTAACTGCTCTTGCTGTTTCTTGTAAAACTCTTGTAGTTGTTGCTGAATAAACCATTTTGACTTTAATAAATAAAGGCAAAAGTTGCATGTATTATAAATGTCCTAAACTCTTCTAGCCTGACACATGGTAGAGTAGCCATTAAGATTCACCCCACCCCAACCCCCCCAAATTGCATTGGATTTAAAGAGACAGCTCTACATACTTTTTTTCCCAAGGCAGCTCTGAAAATTTCCAATCCAGAATCCAAACAATCCTAAACAAAAGGGTATAGAAAATCTGTATTCTAAAGGCCAGAACCAAACGAATACTCTAAATGACTACATCTGAAGTCCTATGACCACCTAAGAACAGGCTGTGCTCCTCTCCTTAGAAGGATCAAGCATAAATGCCACCAAAGTAGGAAACGGTTTAATCTATCAGAGGTTTAACACAATGTCATGCTAGAAATCTTTGTAACTTGTAGGCACAATCAGAAGTGATAGCAAAGTAACTAAGACCTCTGGCACAACACATTATTTTCATCATGGAAATCAAGTATAGCATTCTGAATCCATTAATAGATAGTCAAGCCTTCAATAAGCTGCACAGTAGGTTCATTGTATTTTCACAAAGACATCAAGACCTTGCTCTTTATCTGTCTAATTTTATTCTAATAAGCAGATTCCTCTTTTCCTAAGTGATGATTATACCTTGGAAAAGAAAGCTTGGGGGGCTGCTTTTGGCATGTGCTCTCTGCAAAGTGGCCTTTTTCCTCTTCATTGAAACTTGAGGGGGGACTACAGTCTTGGGGATTTAAAAAAAAACAACAATTCCATGGCCTTTCGGTATACTTCTTGGCAAATTGTAAACCTGCCTAACAACCTGAATAATCAAATGCTCTTTCTTCTTTCTTCAACTTCATCCTCTCTCTGCTCTAGTTCTCTACCTGAATACATTCAAAGGGAATGAGTGACTTAAATGTTCTTCTATAGCTCTGCAATTCGTGTGACACGTCTGTTCTAACACACTGCTAAGATGCTTCTGCAAGTGGAGGCCACACTATTAATAAGCCCTCCTGCACTGCCAGCAGAGTGTGGACCCTGGAGAACACGGCCAGAGCAGGTAACATACATTACCTGCTGCAACATCACTGCCTGCTGTTGCTGGAGGAGGGCTTGGAGCTGCTGAGGAGACAGGACCTGCTGCTGAAGAATCTGCTGCATCTGCTGAGGGGTGATCACCTGGGGCGTCATCATGGCCACTGACACGGGCACCTTCATGGAGAGAGAGAGAGAAAGGCCTGTCATAATCCAGTGCTTGCTGAGCTTTGCACATTGTTTTCTTAAAGTTCATTAGCACCAATGACCAAAATAGTATGCATTTTCCGTTGTATAACTTGGCATTATTTTGAAAACAGTTTTCAAGAGGCGGCAGATTTCACTAGGTTCCCACTTCAAGTTTGGTGTTTCAAATGTACTTGCGCAAAGGAGCTGGACCTCTGGATAATACAGTAGAAAATAAATAATTTCATAGCCATATTCTCAGAAGCTCATCACTCACTGAGCACCTCTTCAGTGTCTCATTGCTGTAACTGAAAGCTTTTTGAAATATTTTAAGCATACCATTATAAAATAAAAAGTTAAACAATTAAAATATGCATACAAATAACTGATATTTATAGTTCTACAAAGCATACATATAGAATATACTTATTTAATATAATCACCATTCAAAATTCTACACATATTTATACTACTTAAAAATACATATACTGAGTAAAATTGCTGAGTACATAAAGTTGCTAGTTTCCAAGACCAACTACTAGAGTTTGTGCAGAACCCAAATAATGGGAAAAAACTCCCACAAGTTGTCCTCTGACCTCTACATGTGTTGCCCCCCCACACACACTAAATAGGTGTAAATTAAAAGGATACAAAATCCACACAGCAATAGATATGACTATATAAGAGCATGTAGTAAATGACATACGAGTTTTTCTAGATATGTATGAATATAGATGAAAATATCTGAGGAGACTAGTTCACTAAAAGACAGAATAATAAAACTAACAGTCTAGTTTCTTCTTTAAATGATATTTTTTTTTATTACAAGAAGCTAAAGTTATACTAGAAAGTACAAAAATCTAAAGGTTACTAAACGATTCCTCATTCCATTACACTTATAACAAAACAAACACATTTTTGCAATTTTGTATGCATTTAAAAGTCTTTTTCTCATTTTACCTACCAACCACAGTTACTCTTCCTTCCCCTCCTCTCACTCCCTCCACTTTCGCTCCACTGAACTGCCCATCTACTCCTTAGTAAGGGTAAAGCCTCCCATGAGGAGTCAACAAAGTCTGGGCTGTCAAGTTGAGAAAGGACCAAGCCCTACTCCCCTGTATCTAGGCTGAGCAAGGTATCCCTTCATAGAGAACGGGCTCCAAAATTCAGTTCATGCACTAGGGATAGATCCTGGTCCCACTGACAGTGGTCTCACAGGCTGTTCAAGCCACATAATTGTCACCCACATTCAGAGGGCCTCTTTGGGTCCTAGGCAGGTTTCCCAACTGTCAGTCCAGAGTCAGCTCTTGGGTCAGCTGTCTTTGTGGGTTTCCCCATCAAGACCTTGACCACTTTGCTCATATAATCCCTTATCCTTCTCTCTGCCTGGACTCCAGGAGTTCAGGCCAGTACATTTGTGGATCTTCTCTGCCCCAGGACCCAGCAATACCACTCTTGGGGAACAACCTAGATGCCCCTTACCCCAAGAATGAATGAAGAAAAATGTGGTACATTCACACAATGGGGTATTATTCAGAGGTGTATGTACTCACTCACAAGTGGATATTAGAGAACCTTTTGTGTGAACTTTCTCCTCACTTCCTTCCTTTTAAAATTTTCAGAGGATGAAGGTGGTAAGGGGGAATATAGAAGACAGAGGAAAAGAGCCAGGGAAAGAAGGGAAGAAAATAGATTATAAGGAACGGCATTGGGGAGAATGTTCCGGAGAAATAAGGCATTTCTGGAGAGACAGGAGCAGGAGGACAACAGAGGGGCCTCAGAGGTGCATGCTCAGTGCAGTGACAGTGTCTTCGCCAATATCAAGTCCTTGCTCTGCCCCAATCAGCACGCCATCAAACAACGCGTCAACTGGCCAATCCTGCGACCTTTGAGAAAATGTTGACAAACGAGCAGCAACAACAACAATCTACTTTTACTGTAAAGAAAACCTAGTATTTATATAAAGAACTGCTTTAGAACATATTTATGGGACACTGTGTCTTGGAAAAATAGAGACGATTGATAGGCACAGTTCACAAGGTACTCTAATGGTAATTTTTAATGTGGTTCAAACATTTCTAACACTTGAAAATTTAAAAAAATGAGAAATATTTAATGAAAAACTGGTCATAAGTGGAAATAAAGGGAAAGAAAAGAATTCCAGATTGAATTTCCTCTACCTCAAACAAAACGAGCAAAAATATGTTTGTAACACTAAAAAGATAGCCATATCTCCCAATTTTTTCCACTATAGTATGGAAATACAGAAGCATTTGATTTAATTTTATACAATGAGAGAAAAAAAGGGGGGAAAGTAATTATTGACTTTTAAAACTATTTCTGAATTGAAAATCTATGTGGGCATACATGTGGATCATTTCATCATAGTTAAGTAGCAGCCTGAATGAGTGTTGTAAAGTCATCCATTTGGAGGCCAAGAAAGGATGATCTGGTGCTCCAAACTTTAACCAGAACCAGTCTACCTGTCTTTATAAACAAGCGTAACTAATTGCACTGTGTTTCTGAGTGCTTGGCTATTTAAAAGGTTAAAAACAAACAAACAACAACAACAACAAAAACAAAAAAAAAAAACAAAAAAACCTGTCAATTTAGTTACTTGTTCATTTTTGGGTTTTTTTTTCTTTCTTTTTTTTTTTTTTTTTTTGGTTTCCAACACAGGATTTCTCTTTGAAGCTTTACAGCTTCTCCTGGAACTCGCTTTGTAGACCAGGCTGGCCTTAAACTTACAGATTTCAGACTGTCTCTGCCTCCGGGTCCTGGGATTAAAGTCATGTGCCACCACTACCTGGCTTTACTTATTCTTTTTAATAAAGAAATAGAATGAAACACACACACACATATTGGAAAGAGTCAAGCTACAAAAAAATGTGTCATACTCATTAACCTTATAGTCTCTTCTTGAAGTAGGGAAATTAGCAACTCAGGGGCAGTGAAAGACATGGTAAAGTTTCATTTCAGGAGTGCCAGTATAGATAGATTAGATGGAAGACAACAGAAAGACAGGGAAGAAGAAGAGGGGAATATTGGTATGGAACACTCATGTCTACTCACAGCTATTTTTGTATAAGTATGCACTTCCCATGAAGGTGACCATTTATCGAAACGCTGATTGTCTTTTTTCCTGGAAAGCCCTTGTTACTGTTCAGTAATCAGTTATCTCCTTTCACTCACATGTCTATGTTTTCAAGTAAAAGTGCTCTGTGTGTGTAACACTCACAAGTGAACCGTCTAGGGCAATTCTACAAACAGAGGTCTGACACAGTGTTCCAAAGCTCACAGGTTCCAGCTGCTACATAGCATAGGGCTTGGTAGTTCCTTGCTATTGTGACTGACTTATTATTTGGCCAAAGTTCACTTTCTTCTGTCTCTACAATTCCAAAGCTTATTAGTTAGTCCTCTCACTATGCAGACAAATTTAATCTTATTTTTAAGCCTCTGATGATTTGTCAGTACCTTATAGATCTATGACACAAGTGTATCTGCCAGACCAAGGCCATGCTGAAGTTATACAAGCATAACTCACATGTACATGATGCGTTCACATTTTAATCAGACTCTGGCCCTCTCTGAAAAACTACCATCTAAAACAGATAGAAACATATTAGAAAGATAAGTAAACTAGCACACAACTAATTGAACTTTTTATTTACCTAAATATATAATAAAACACATCACAAAGTTCATAACAGAGGTAAGAAAACATGTGTGAAAGATTTCTAGTATCTAATGAAAGCTGATACTATCACTTAAATCCATATATATGTATGTATATATGTATGTATGTATGTATGTACACACACACACACATACACACACACACACACACACACACACACACACACACGCAAAGTAAACCAACCAACCAAACTAAGCAACCAAAATAACTGTGACTATCATATATTTGGACTGCTTAGTATCCTTATGTGAAATATATATATATAATTTTCAAAATGTCTCCATTTCTAGATTAATTTTAAGTGGCATATTTTCTGTATTATCCTTGTGACTGTTCAGTTACTATAGAATTATGTATTTTGTCTACAGGAGCTACCTAGAAATTCACTGACACAAAAGAAGAGTGATTCCTTAAGTGCATGTAAAAAATCTTGCTACTACACTATTCATCAATATTCAGAAAAAAAGTAGTATCAGACATAAAAAGTTCTGGGTTCACACACACCTATGGATAATGCTAGAGGGATTGGCATAGCCTTGCTGCTTAGTGTTAAATTGACCAACATATTTTCTACTAGCTATAAAAGTTGATGTGAACAAACATTCAAAAGACTGACTAGTATTTAGATGTGTGGCAGAGATGAGAAAGGAGCCCGTGGACACTTTCTGACAAAGAGGCAAGACAAAGTCTGATGGGCATATCTCAGTGGGTGTTCCAGTAAATACTGATGTTATCAGTCAAGCTCTTTAGAGTGAAGGAAAGTAAACAGTCCGCATATCTGTGGAGATTTCTCTTTCTCTCTCACCTTGCACTTATTCTATTGGCAGCTCTAAAACCTACAGTGACATACCAAACATGGAACCCCATTTATCTTTATTTTGTCATCAGATAAATTAAGCAAAATCTTAACGCTTTGATCTGCATACCAGTAAGTACTAGATAACTGAAAACCAAGATATAGTTAAGAACACTGAATTTAGAGCAGAAAAAATATGTGAGATTGTCTTGAAATGAATCAAATGTTAAAACAGCAGCTATAGGTATTATTCTCCAACAGGGAGGTGATGACTATAGGTTACTTAAAAGTCCATATACAATAAATGTATTTGTGAATTCATCCTGCTCCTCATTGAAGGGGACAGAGTTTTTTAGCAGAGACACACTACCAAGACCATGTGTTTGTTCAAATTAATCTAAAAAGTGAATGAATAAGTCATAAAAATGAATAAAAAATTGTTTGACAAAAGCATCCTGCCTTATTACAACTGAGTTTAATAGGAGCATTTCTGGAAGT